TTGTATTTTGGGTGCTGCGTGACTGTGTTGGCTCTCAGCGGTAGTTCCCCTCCCTTTCCTAAATTTAATTTCATTTTTCCCCCTTGGTGCAAGCTGTGTAAAAAGGCAGCTATGGGCCTGGGTTATAGCGGATTCCAAGCTTCAGATTCCCAAGGTCCTTCTTTTGGGCGAAGGAATTAAAACAGAGCCCCAGTCCGCGTTCCCGATGTGAAAGACCAGAGAGGGAAGAAGGGCACTGTGTGACTCTGGCTGGGGGACCCCGGACGGGAGGAGCGGGTGCGAAAGGGGGATCTTTGTGAGTGATTTTGCAAAAACAGATTGCGAGGTTGGTTGGATTTGCAACCTGTGGCTCTCCTCGAGGGAGTAGGAATGGGGAAAAGCGGCGGCGGCGGCCCGGAGAGGGAGTGGGTTGGGAGTTGGAACCTAGGAAATCGGCTGCCTGGGGGGCAGCGGGAGCTAGAGGCCAACCCTGCCGGAAACAGTGAACGTTAAATGTCTTGAGAACTGTGGGTTGCGTTGCCTTTATAATACCGTGTTATTGGAACCCTGGCGAAAATGGAACTAGTGTTGCAAAAAGGAGTTTTAAAACTCTTCCATGAAAAAAAAAAACCACCACCAATCAACATTTTTTTTTAAAAAAGAGTAAAATAAATAACCTCTGTGTTGTGCTCTTTCCCGTAGAGAGAGATTTAGTTTTGGTGCTAGGGATAGTGAGAAATTACCTCAAACCCGGGGCTGGACTTCTGGAGCTGTTACAAGCCGTAGAGACAAGCATCGCACCCCAACCCCCTAAAAAAGTGATATTTTCTTTGTCTTTTTTTTTTTTTTTTACAAACATTGTACAGTTCCCAGGAGGAAAATATTGCTATGCCAGTGGATGCATTACTATCCCCCCCCCAAAAAAAAAGAAAGAAAAGAGAGGGGGAGGGGTAGGAGTAAGGGATCCTCGGAGAGGGCTGTTTAGAAATACAGTTTGTGGCTCTGAGCTATGCCGCTGGCTTCCTCTGCAGTTCGCTGGTTTCCCTTTTTCTTTGCGAGGTGTTGTGTGTGGTTTTAATAAATAGCTTGAAAATCGGGGAGGGGGCAGTCCGACCCACCCGGAGACAGGAATCTGTTTCGCTCACTATTTACTATCAAGAGCCTTTGGCACTTGAGCAGGACCTCGTAAATCTGCAGCCCAAGTTGAAGTTCATCTGGCCCCAGTCCACACGCTGTTCCTGGAGGTAGCAAACATGAGCTCAAAAGAGTGAGGTGAAATCATATTCTTCGTTATATCCCGATTTTAATGAAAAAGGAAAGATATCTGTCCCAGGGGAAGAGGAAATGTAGAGAAAACACCAGGAGATGGACATTTTCTCTTGCTAAAATGACTGCAGTTCAGTCCTGGGGCCAAAATAGAAACCTGTAGATGGACAACTCACCCCCAACCCCCTGTTTATAAATAGAAGTTTCCAGTATCCTATTTGGAAGAACTTCTTTTCTAATACTTTCAGGCGTTGAGTGATTTTAAGGGTCTGTTTGGTACCGACAATAAGGCTGGATGCTGTTCACAACAACTCAGTGAGTGGAGGAAAGAGACAGCCAGGAAAAGCGGGTATTCGCTAATTACCCTGTTCCTCTCCTCAGTTTTGAAGGGCTTACAGCAGTATTTTCTTGAAAAGACGAATTTATTCTGGGCTTGGTGGTCAGGAATGGCATCCTAGATTTCTAAGTTGTCGTTGAGTGAGCCCCGAGGAGGAGTTCCAGTTATGGGTTGAGTAAATGCCATGACTAGATGTCAAAATCCTTCCTTCCCTCTGTCCCCTGCTGGGGATATCCCACTCTGTTGTGAAAAAAAAACTTGAGTATCAGGGGAGGCGGTGCGGCAGCGCCACCCCTTGGTGGGCGAAACTATTGGTAAAAGCCAAATATTTGAAAAATAACTGTGAAATGACAGTAATTAGGCATGTGGTCCCAAATCACTCTGAGAGATTTTCAAAAAATTTGAGAGATGAAACCTTTAAAATAAATACGTTATAGTTAATCTCTTAAATAGGATAGAAACACGTTGTTTTCCAAGCGAGCACAGTGTCATAATAGGCCATGTCCTTCTCATAATTTAAGGGACACCTTGCAGGGGTGAAGGTAGGGGAGGACTTGGCAGCGACTTCTCTGGGCTGATGTAGCTATTTTCCCCTTCGGACTTGACTGCTCAGGGTACCTGAAGTCTGCTGAAGGTCTGACTTTGAGAAAAGAAATGTTTTGGTGTGAAAAACCGTGGGACTGAAAGTGCTGTAGTTTCCCTGGGGGCTGTGGTGGCGTGTGTCGGGGTGGTGGGGAGAGGCTTGTGGACCGCAGGTAGCAGCGGTAGGCTGGGCTGCAGCCATGTGGGAGTCAAAGCAGTGTGGCGCGTGCCGGTTTCCTACACTGCGCAACAAGTGGGACCTCAGCGACGCGCGAGGGCTCTGCTGGCCGGCTTCTTTTCGTTCCTTTCTGACCTCTCGTGCTTCCCATTTCCAGACCAGTAGCATCCCCCAAAGAACCTACTCGGTTCGGTTCCCCTCCCCTGCTTTGCTCAGTGGGTCAAGGTCTTAACCCCGGTTCCCCCTTCCCGCTTATTCCCGACCTTTGCCTCTCTCTCTCTCTCTCTCTCTCTCTCTCTCTCTCTCTCTCTCTCTCTCTCTCTCTCTCTCTGTGTGTGTGTGTCGCGCCCTCCCTCCCTCCCTCTCCCTCTCTTCTTTGCAAGAATGTCTCTAATACTTTCAGGTGTCGTTCCTTTTGAAAGTGAGCATAGCCAATTTTGAGGAGGGGAGGAGGGGAACAGATAACCAAATAATACCCGAAAGCAGCTCCTGAAACGGTTCCGTGTTAGCTAGAGGCACGAGCACCGAAGAACGGAGTTACATCTGCTCAACTAAATGTTTTCCGACTTCAGTTTTGGAAGCACCCCCACCCCCACGCCAAGGTTCAGACAAAAAGCCTCTGGTACTGTGTGTGGAAGGCTATGCTAAGAGGGCGATTCTTGAACGGACTTAGTCTGCCACCTAGTGGTTAGTTATGGTCAAGATTCCTGCTCGGAGTGGTGGTCTGACCCTGGTCAAATGCCAGTACTGACGGGGAAGGGCATTCTCAAATGAGTTTGGCATTTGACATCCAGAGTTTTGACAGGACAGATGAAAGCCATATGCTCACGCCGTCCACATCACAATCGCTCAGCCTTAAATCTCAACTAAGGAGCGGTCCTGCGTTTGAGGACATCTGTGGTCTCTCCACAGAAAAAGTTGGTAGCAGAAAGATGATACCCGAAACGCTCGGGAGCTTTAGGATTTAAGCCTCGTCATTGCTGTTGTGGAATTAGGCCGAACAGTAAGTTTCTGAATTCCAAAGAATTCATCAAAGGAGTTTATCCCAGTTCATGGGGGAACAGTTTAACCTTAGGTCACTGGAGTTGCCAGAGCACATTGGAAACCGCTCCTTACCGATCTTTAGCGTAAGGTTTTTGACAAAAGAAATGGAGAGATTACAGAGGTGCGGAGGGGGTGGGGCCTCTCAAAGCTGTAGCACATGCTTGTGCTGAGTTTGGTGGCCGGGGACTTCTTAACGTAGTTTGGGGATATGCACCAGCTGACCAGCTGCCTGCAAGCTTGACCTCCGGACTCTCTCTTTCCATCCGTTTATCCTTTAATTAGTGGCCTGGGTAGAAAGCAGGAGAGAGAGAGAGAGAGAGAGAGAGAGAGAGAGAGAGAGAGAGAGAGAGAGAGAGAGAGAGAGAGAGAGAGAGAGAGAGAGAGAGAGAGAGAGAGAGAGAGAGAGAGAGAGAGAGAGAGAGAGAGAGACAGAGAGACAGAGAGACAGAGAGAGACAGAGACAGAGGGGTTTGTGAATAACTAGAGCACTATTTGAGAATTTGTGCCCCATCTCTTGAGTAAAGTTCTTTCTCAAAGCTCTTAACTGAGATGTCCCGCTTGCATTGACGCGCGGGCGACCTCTAGTGGCTGCCTCTGTCCTCCCCTCAGAGACACAGCTGTCTTCCCCCGCCCGCCCCGGCCGGGTGGAATCCAGTTCATCCTCTATCACTGCGGGAGTTGTCCCAGGCCGCCGCGCGGAGAAATGCGCCTCTGTTCGGATTGGAAACGAATCTGGGGACGTGTCTGAAGCGCGGTCAAGTTTGACTCATCGCTTTCCAAGGACAGTTAGTGCCTTCCATCTTCATTAACGTGAATAAAGACCTTGGCTGACTTCTGTCTAGATCGAATTTTAAAAGGCATTGTTTGCTTGGGGAGATCATGCGTCTCTCTCCTGCCCCACAGTACTCCCCCCGACCCTACCCCAAGGCCGATCCCAGTTCAGTCAGGATTGGGGAAGAGATCTCTGCTGAAGGACATGGTTTGGTGGTTTTGTCTGCAGACTTCTGGAGGCTGTCTCGGCCAGGCTCACGGGGCGAGTCCCTTCAGTTCTTCAGATCTTGATGATAAAACACATCCCTTTATTTTATTTTATTTCCTCGAAGTCTGCGGCCTTACAAGAGTTCGGAGGCAGGACATGTAACAGAAATGAAAAGTCAGGACATAAAGTCCTCTGGTTAGCTCATGCAGCCGAGGAGGCCATCGCACGAGCAACATCTCTTCTGATTTTTAGTGTCACCGCCGCCCAGAGGCAAGAGCATCAGTATTGTCCTTTCCTGACTCCAGAACAGAAGCAAGACTTTGAGTCTACCCATTATCGCCAGAACCGGGTGGCTAGACTTGAGCACCCTGTTAGGAAAGAGCACTCCTGCTGGAGCCCAGAGGCAGGTTTCAATGCGTCAGCCCTCACCCCAACCCCCCACCGCGCCTTAGTCAAACTCCTGGTCCCTAGACAGTGATTTACACTTTCAGGATCCTCTTTAGATTCTTCGGCGAGCTATTGGAGTTATTAGATTACCAATAATCTAACAACCATCCTGGATGGAGAGGAGTGGAAATCCAGACGCTGGCCAAACTAGGTCAATGGGAAGGAGGGGCGGGGCGAGTAGCGCGCTGTAGTTTCAAGCCTTGATGGAGGGCTCTCTCTAGCGTCGGCCCGAGGTAAATACACCATTGTGATGGCACTCCTCAGATACTCACTTCTGTCCCATATAAAATTCCTTTTGTCGCCTTTAGCCCAGGGCGAAGGACTAACTCACAACAGGCTCTTAAGACCAGAGAGAACCCATCTTGGGACGCGAGTCTGACCCCGCCTCCGCCTCCGAAAGGCGGCTGTGCGGCTCAGAGATGCAACCCGCTACTTTAAGGTCTGTGGCCGAGGTTGTGCGGAATCCACCCCGAAGAAGCAAGGCGACCGAGAGCACTTAGTGGGTGGCCACGGTGGTGGTGGTGTGTGTGTGTGGAGGGGGGGAGCGTCATTCCTCGGAAGGCGCGGCAATGCTGCTGTGTATCAGAGTTTGCACTGCAGTCTCTACTGTTTCAGGAAAATAAGATTCTGAAATCCCAGAGCTTGTCTGGCTTCAGCCTGGTAGCTCTGGCTCTAAAGAGGCTGGGCGGAAACCTCCCCTTTCTTGCCAACGTAGGCGGAAGGGGTTTCAGCTCAGTTTTCTTTCAGGGTTAGTTTTCTCCCCAATCGGCCAAGTCTCCCAAGGGTGGGGACCCTTAGTCCCGGGGACTCCGTCTTTTTGACCTTGACTTCTTACCTATACATTCCCTTCTAAAGCAGGGAAAGAGGTAGCAAACAAGAAGACCAAAAGAAACCCCAAGAAATAACATCAAAACCCTAAGACAAACAACAACAAAACAAAAGCAAACAAACACCAGCTCAGCCAGTTGCTAGTTGCCAGAATGTGGCAAATTGGAAATCATGAAGCGAGCCTCAGACTGTCTCCAGACTCTTGGGCTTCACACTGGGACTTTTAGCTTTCTGGGGGCAGGGATGGGGACCAGGTGGACTCCGGCCTGGAAGCCAGAACCCGTGTGGATGGCGGATTTGGGGGAAAGGGTGCTCTGTCCCCGGCCAGCGCTAAGCAGCCAGCAAACCCGGACTGGGCTGTCAGGCCGCGGCTTCCTGGAAAGTTACTTCTCGTTGGAGCCCGCGCTGGGCAGGAGTGTTCTATGAAATCCTCAGAGCTGAGGTCGACTACGTTCCGGGAATGAGAGGGCCGTGCCATTCCCCTCGTGGCCCCCTGCTTTGACAGAGTAACAGGAAAAAAAAAAAGAGAGAGAGAGAGAGACGCACATAATACTAGCTACCGACGTGGACGAAAATATTTATTTGAATGTAACCAAATTAAGGGCCATTACAGTCCTACAACCCGGCCCTGGCCGCACCTTCCCCGGCTTCGAGGCGGATGGGCAGCGGTGCCAGCCGATCGCCAGGGGGTGGGCGGTCCCAGGAAGACAGGTACAGCTAGGTGCGGTGAGCGAGTCTGCGCAGGCTTGCCAGGTGGCGGGCTGAGGTTTGTGTCAGTGCGTGTGAGCAGGCGAGTGAGGCTGCCTAGTGCTACCCCTGCCCGGAAGGAAAGGGACAGGATGGAGTCTTCGCATTGACTTCTTGGCTAGCTCTCAGATCTCTCTCTCTCTCTCTCTCTCTCCTCTCTTTCTCTCTCTCTCCTGTTCCCAGCTCTGCTGCCTTCTTTGCCTGTTTTTTTTTCCTCTCTCTCCTCTCCCCCCTTTCTCCTCCCACTGGAAGCTCCGTTATTGAACCGCCTCATTGAATGCACACAAGGAAAGCGCCCAGGGAGGGAGAGGGTGCAAGTTGGGGATTACTTCAGCGGGGATCCAGTTGTGGTTCTGTTCTTCTTGCTGGCCTGATTCTCCTTGGTGTTGTTTGCATAGAACATTGTTGGAAAATGGTTTTGAGTTTTGGGCAAGCGCTTGTTCTGAAAGCCTCGGTTTCCTTCCTAGTGAATCCTGGCCATGATAAAGATAAGGTACAATAGTGGATGGGAAAAGGCTGAGTGATTTGTAAAACAAACAAGCTGAATGCTGGTCCAGTGTCTGGAGGGCGGTGGCATTTGGCTCGAACATTAGCCCCCCCCCACACCTTGGGGATTTGTGGTGAGATCTGCTGAGAACAGTTGGCTTTCAGAGACAGGAATTGGTGTTGAGGAGTGACTCCATGGAACACGGGCTGCTCTTGTCTGTGCATGTTCTTTGTAGAAGGAGACAGGCTGAAGGTAAAAAGCCCAAGGCCAGTCTGACAGTGGTCACAGCAGGGCTGCCTTTTTTTGTTTGCTTCGGTAGGACCTCTCATCTGGAGTGAGTCATTGCCACTTGTCATGGTGAAATGGCAAATCTGGGCTTCCTGTGGTTCCAAAAGTCTGTGACTGGAATCCACAAGTGAGCTGGTGGTTGACGCTCAGCCCACGAATTCCAGAAGGGTTTGTGGATCTCTTCCATGGGGGAGCAGGAGAAAGTTAGTAAATAAACTTCACGTGTCTGCAGCATCTATTTCCAAAAGAGACAGTTCGTTGAACTTGGGTGAGGATCAAGTGGAATCTGTGTACTCACTGGCAGTTAGGATGGATTCAGGAAGAAATCGGTTTTGTTTTGTTTTGTTTTGTTTTGTTTTTGCTTTTGTTTTTGTTCTTTTTGTCTTCTCTCTTCCCCCATTGCCTACCCACTCACTCACATGCACGTATTAACCTTGAAGCTGATGAGACTGCCGGCTAGCATTGGTACCACAGAGAACTATAAGTGGTTCCAGACCCCAGGAAACCTCTATTTAGAGCGCTCCTTTGGTCAGACTCAGCCCTGTGGAATGGGGCAAAGCCTGTGTGGGGAAGGAGTGTAAAACTGAGATTCACCCACCTCAGGGTGCTGCTGTCCTGTGTGTTCTCCAGCACGTAGGCTGACTTGGAAAGAGGACAGGAATCTGAGCCAGAAGACCTAAGGCCAGGCCATCAACTATCTACGTGGCCCAACATGACCTCGCTGGCCTTAGGCTCCTTCACCCGGAAAGCCACCCTGGAGGGCCGTGCTGTTTGAATGGGAGAACAGACTTCCAATAGATGATTGCTCTGCTTGCCCAGGTTCCATCAGAAAGGAGAGGCTTGCACCTATGCTCTTCATGATTTTTGTGTTAGAGAAACCAATTTGGAAAGAGTACATGCTTCATCAGATCTCTTTAAGGCTCCCTGGCTAGTTCTCAGCTAAACCCCACAGTTAAATCTTTCAGAAGCCAGGAGAAGCCCGAACTTGGAAGCTATGGTCAGTCCTCTGTCTAGTTTTAGACCTGGAAGCAGAGGGAGAGGAAACTTTGAAAAAGAGGGCAAAGATACTGAAGGAATGCACAAACACAATGTCTCAGGTTTTATTCTGTAGTCTCGGTATTCGTTCTTAAGTGTTCCAGAGAATCAGGAGACACTGCCTGGCTGTTTGTGCTCAACAAGTCATTTGAACCCTGGGTCTCAGTTTCATCACCAGTGAAATAAGGATAAAGATATTGGCCCTATCAGCCTTGTGGAATCATTCTAAGACTTGAAAGATAATATTTTTAGCATGGGTTTGAATAGCATCCAATGTTTTTAGGTCCCTGAAGAATCATTATCATTAATATTGAAAGAACTACTTATTTTTTTGTTTCCCATAAACTCAAATGGTCTTTTGATGTATATTTTTTTTTATCCTGTGAAAGGAAATAAATGTATAGAGGTATATGTAATTAATGTATGCAGTGGTATTCCCAGCACTAAGGATAAGACATTGTTCCCAAATGGCTTTGAGTGCCTGTTGTTTCTATAAGCACAGAGATGGAATATGTTTGCTAGCTTGTGGGAAAACCGCACCAGCTGGCAGGCTGCAGCTATCAAAGCAAAGCTTAACTATGTGTGTCCTAAAATAAGACCGGAGTGGACAATCTTCCACTCATTTAGTCAATCTCCATTTGCTCTCTTCTCTACAGTTTTAAAGCAAAATTTTGGACTGTGAAGCAAGGCATTGGGTAAGTAAATCGAATTATATGCTATAATATTTGTAGATGTATTTATTTCTTTTGAATTTTACCCCTGCGTGTTTTTTTTTTTAAGCTTGCCACCTTTCACTCAATGAACGAAGGACAGTGAATTCTCTACATACCGATCTCTGTCCTTACCCTTCTGCCCCTGTACCAACAGACTTAATACAGTCCCATGGCACTATTCATTCATCTCCTTATTCATTCTTAGTTCAGGCTAGCCCCGGTTACCTGTTCTGCCAGTGGTGTGCTAGTGCTAAGTATTCAAACTATTGAACAAAACAACTCACAATTTCACAGCATGGGATGGATAATGAAATGATATAGCTGCATCCACCCCCTTTTTTAAAAAAAAAAAAACCTATTATGGTCTAGGTACATATTTCTAATTTTAAATACCACATAGGTATTGTTGTTCCTATTTTGGAGAACCAAAGCCCAGAAACAGTAACGGCACGCTCCAAGTCACAGAGCTGGTGAAAGGCAAGGCGAACTGGGTAACTCTCCAAGAGTGGTTTTCTCCGTTGCAACATACTTGCTGCCTCTCAATGCTTGGCAGAGTCTTTAGTATGTGGGAAAAAACACTTAACAAATAGTCCTTCCCTTCCCCTTTCCCCTAAAGAGCTTTCTACCCTAGCCTTTATTCTCCCCATTTGATAGCTATGAATAGTAATGTCCAGAGATGGGCTATGAATTGTCCACTAGACACCTGAGTTGCATTCTGTACCTTAGCATGCTAAGCCATCTGTTTGGTACTCCTGGTAAGCAGGGTGGTTCTCGAGGACTAATAGGAGTTTAACTTCTGTTTCAGCGAAGACAAAATGGCCTCACCGGCTGACAGCTGTATCCAGTTCACCCGCCATGCCAGTGATGTTCTTCTTAACCTTAATCGCCTCCGGAGTCGGGACATCTTGACTGACGTTGTCATTGTGGTTAGTCGTGAGCAGTTCAGAGCCCATAAAACAGTTCTCATGGCCTGCAGGTGAGTGGTCCTGGAGTGAGGGGTGACTGCATAAATGGGGAGCTAGGATTGGCAGCCGGTGAGAAGAATATGTAGGCTGTTCCCTGTGTCTGAGACAGCATCCCCTTAGTTTACAGATCTCAGCACATGGCCTGGTGCTCTGGACTCCAGGGAAACAATTGAAGGAATACCATTAGAAAATAGTTTCTCTTTTGAAGGCATAGTGGTTGAGGAAATGTACTCTGAAAGACACAATGTGTCTGAGGCCAGTAGGGAGACACATGCTGGTTAACTAAAAGAAAGTCAGTTAACCAGTGTGAGGATGAAAAGCAAAAGGGGCTTTCTAAGTAGTTCAACCAAGCTTGACAGCTTTTGCCCTTTTATGCTGTAACTGTTCTTTATTTAAAAATTTATTTTTTGAAACAGGGTTTAATGTAAAGCTAGCCTTGAAAACATTACCTAGCTAAGGCTGGCCTTGAGATTCTGATTCTCTCACCCCAAGTTCCGGGATTATAGGTATGAACCACCATGCCAAAATTACTGTACTTCATTTATACTGTAACTATGTGTCCATGGTTTAAGCATAGAGTGAGTAAGCCAGATAATTCTTCATATTTTCCCAAATTTCAAGTTTCCCGGGCAATATCATATTAAGTCATTTCTAAGCTCTTCTTACCAGCTGTGTATTGTGGATGGCATTCTGTCTCCATTTTAAAGATAATGAAAGCAAGGCACAGGTTTATGTAGTGATGCATGGCTCTGTATTGAAATTAGAGAACATAACCAATGTCTAATAATAGCACTTAAAAAATAATGTGAAGGGCTAGCTGGTGAGATGGCTCAGTGGATAATTGCACCTGCTGCCAAGCCTGATGACCTGAATTCAACTTCAGGACCAAAATGGTGGAAGGAGAGAGGAGTGACTCTTTCACATTGTCCTCCACTCTCCTGTCATAGTGCATGCGTGCGTGCGCGCGCATGCGCGCACGCGCGCACACACACACACACACACTAAATAAGTAAAAATTAAAATACAAAGAACAGAAATTTATATATATATATATATATATATATATATATATATATATAATAGAGAGTGTGTAGTTTGTTGTGTGTGCTGTGCATATGTATATATATATAACATTTTTTTTATTTATTATTTAGTATTTACTGTGTGCTGAGCATCAGTATACATCGCTAACATTTTTTATTGTTGCCACAACCCTATTAAGCACACACGGTGCTCTTCTTACTTGGCAGATTTGGAAACCAAGGTACAGCTAAGTTAAAGGTATTATGCAAGGTTGAAGAGTTGCTTTTTGGGAAGGGAGGTCTGACTCATTTCTGGTAACCCACCCAGAAAGAGTAGAGTTGAGATGACAATCAAGTCTAGAATCCTCGTTTTAACTATAGACAACATCATGACCTGAAGACATGGCTTGGGATTTGACTGGAATCTTCTAGAATAATTGACATTCTCATAATCTTTGGGCTTTGAGAAAGGTGGTGGAATATGGTTATATCATTATGTGTTACCCATCCCTAACTCGCTCATTATGCAGTAGACATTTAAAATGAGGGCACCGTGGTAAAACAAGGAAAATACTTATATGCAACATAAAGTAAGAATAGTGACTGCTGGTGAGGGCTAAGTTAGACAAAGGGAAAGCAGTGCTATGATTCTGAGACTACTTCCCATGCTCTGTTATCTCCCTTTCCCTGTTTGTAAAAGTGGAACATGGTGGTACGTATCTCATAGGATTAGGGAGAACACAGGTTAGTGTGAGTATGGAAAATGCTCAAAACATTCCTAGCATCTGCTAGGCTTTCCACAAGTAGAAGTGATCAGTAAGTGCCATGGAGCTTAGGGACCTGTGCTCTGGGAAGGAAAGACCCTCAGATGCTTTGTGACCACTGCAGTGGCCCCTTCTGTTTGTTTTACAGTGGCCTGTTCTATAGCATCTTCACTGACCAGTTGAAATGCAACCTTAATGTAATCAATCTGGATCCTGAGATCAACCCTGAGGGGTTTTGCATCCTCTTAGACTTCATGTACACATCTAGGCTCAACCTACGGGAAGGCAACATCATGGCTGTGATGGCTACCGCCATGTACCTGCAGATGGAGCATGTAGTGGACACTTGCAGGAAGTTCATCAAGGCCAGGTGAGCTGCCTCCTGGTAGAAGGTGTGGATACAGAGAAGGCAGTTCCAGATCAGAAATCGTGCATGTTTTCACAGCCTCTGGGACACATCACACCCTCCATTCTACAGTGGTTGCGCGCGTCCTCCTTTGATTCACGTACTTAAGGCAGATGTCATTCCTTGCAGCAGCCCAGATGTATATGTCATGGGTACTTCTGCCCCCCCCCACCTCTGCCCCATTTTCTTTTAGTCTCTTTCCTTCCACTCACCCCGCCATTCCCAAGGAGGTTTTTATGACTTCCTCAGCTCATCTGTGTTTGGCAGTCAGCGTTTTGCTTTTCCTTTTGACCTTCTCTTAACATTTGTATGCATAGGCTAGTTCTCCTTTAGATTTCTATGGTAACTATTTCTACATGTACCTTACTTAGTTCCCTACCAGAGCATCGCCTGCTTGAGTTTACACGGCTGCGTTGCTCTTCATCTATATCATCAACAAATCTCCTTGAGTTCACTTGGTCTTACCCTTTCACCCAGGAGGCATGAACATCACCAAAGGGTGAGGATCCTGAGAGCCAAGGAAGTGGAGAGCCTTGCTAAATGGAGCAGCTACTTAAAGCTAAAGTGCTTCAGAATCACTTGACTCGGCAGCTTTAGGGAAGCTGCCTTCTATCTTAACAGAAGGGATTTCCAATCTGTATTTGACCACTTCCAAGGACTCCTTAAGGACTCAAGCTCTCAGAGCCATACCATCTACCTTGGGTAGCTGGAAAGTCCCTCTTTATGGCCTCTTAAAATCTGGCTCTGGTAGCCCTCTCATTCTAGCTCTGTTAGTGGAGATCATGTTGAGCTGTCCCACTTTTTTCACCCACATAAGTCCCTTTAAGTATTTGCAGCCAATGTTTTTGTCTCCAGTGGGTGATAATGGCAGCGGGTTCATCACTGCCATCATTTGGGAGTACTTTATTACAGGCTAGGACTTGTGCTCCAAATGGCTAAGCAACTTGCTCCAGGTCAGAGCTGGGTTTGCAAAGCAGGCTAGGCTGCTCTGGAACCAGGGCTTTTGCACTGGTCACTGCCTCCATGAACTTCCCAGTGAATCTGTTGAACATATGGTCTTTTAGTTGATATACTCAGAATATATAGTACCATCATTGCATATATTCTTCCCTCCTTGTTTCCACGTGTATAAAATGCCTGATTTTCCTTGCATGATTTTGCTCAAGCAACTTATTGCTTGAAATAAGATAAGGACTTAAAAGCTTTATGTCACTTATAAAATTCTAAATCATATGTGCCTCTAGTTTACAAGGTCATGCCCAGTCAGACGCAGAGTATATGAGTAGCTCATCTTCCTTGGTTTTCCCAACTATAGTCCAGATTGCTAGACTTCTGAGTATAAATGCCCTATAATTGTGCTTTTCTACCCCAGAGTCACATCTCCCGTGTCTAGCTGACTCCAGCATAGATGTGGTTATATAACAGTGTCACTGGAAGGTCACCTCTTTAACAGGTCTAATTTTGGATCTTTTTTAAAACCCCCACAGTGAAGCAGAAATGGTCCCTGCACTTAAACCACCCAGAGAAGAGTTCCTGAACAGCCGGATGCTGATGCCCCATGACATCATGGGCTATAGAGGTCGTGAGGTTGTGGAGAACAACCTGCCACTGAGAAATACTCCGGGTTGTGAGAGCAGAGCCTTTGCCCCTAGCCTGTACAGTGGCCTGTCGACACCACCAGCCTCATATCCTATGTACAGCCATCTCCCGCTCAGTAGCTTCCTTTTCGCTGATGAGGAGCCACGAGATGCCCATGCCCGCATGCCTGTGGCTAACCCCTTTCCCAAGGAACGGACCCTCTCCTGCGACAGTGCCAGGCCAGTCCCCAGTGAGTACAGCAGGCCAGCCATGGAGGTGTCCCTCAGCTTGTGCCACAGCAACATCTACTTGCCCAAAGAGGCGGTTCCAGAGGACACACGGAGTGACATGCACTTCAGTGTGACTGAGGGCCCCAAGCCTGCTGCCCCTTCTGCCCGGAATGCCCCATACTTCCCCTGTGACAAGGCTAGCAAAGAGGAGAGACCGTCTTCAGAGGATGAAATCGCCCTGCATTTCGAGCCCCCCAATGCACCCTTGAACCGGAAGGGTCTGGTTAGTCCCCAGAGTCCCCAGAAATCCGACTGCCAGCCCAACTCACCCACAGAATCCTGCAGTAGCAAGAACGCCTGCATCCTTCAGGCCTCTGGCTCCCCTCCAGCCAAGAGCCCCACTGACCCGAAAGCCTGCAACTGGAAGAAGTATAAGTTCATTGTGCTCAACAGCCTCAACCAGAATGCCAAACCAGAGGGCTCGGAGCAGACAGAGCTGGGCCGCCTCTCCCCTCGCGCCTACCCTGTCCAGCCTGCCGGGCAGCCACCTCTGGAGCCTGATAACCTTGGTCTCCAGATCCCAACTAAGCTCAGTGCCAGTGGGGAGGACTCTACCATCCCTCAAGCCAGCCGGCTCAATAACATCGTTAACAGGTGATTTCAGAGGTCCTGGGTCTAAGGTCAGGGGTTACCTGAGCACAGTTCTGAGGTTCAGAGCCTCTGATGGATGCAGAGTGCAAGACTGTTTTGTTTTCTGTCTGAAGTGCTGAGGGGGATAAGTACCAGAGTGTTAGCCTGAATCAGGAAGCATATTACACGGGAAGTTGTATTTTTGTTTCATTTTGTTTTGTTTTCCATAGCAAGAGAGAGCATTGCCTTCTGTGGGAGAAAAGCTTTCCACAAATCCCCAAGGCACTTCCTGTGGTCTTGATGGGTCAGGGAACCCCTCTTTTAGACCGAGAGGCTGTGGACTGCTGGCCTGAGGAGAGGCAACTGGGCCCAGAAGTGGAAGTTGGGCACTGGCTGACTCCAGGCAGTAGAAGAGAGGGTGTGGGGAGGCTAGGAGCCTGAGAACTGCAGAAGGCTCAGGGGGCTGTGTGCTTGCCTGAGCATACAGAGAGTGGTTAGCATGGAGACCATGTGGACCACTCTTCAAGGCTGGGTGCTGATGTCCCCCCCCCTTTGTTCCTGTCCTCAGGTCCCTGACAGGCTCTCCTAGAAGCAGCAGTGAGAGCCACTCGCCGCTTTATATGCACCCCCCAAAGTGCACATCCTGTGACTCTCAGTCCCCACAGCATACAGAGATGTGCCTCCACACTGCTGGCCCCACGTTCCCAGAGGAAATGGGAGAGACTCAGTCAGAGTACTCGGATTCTAGCTGTGGTGAGTCCCTTTCTCTTCCTTCCTCTTGATGCCTAGGGGAAGGGAGGCCCCTCTGTTGTGGGGGATTTGTGTTTCCATTTTATTTGTGCTGCTGTCTCTGGAACACGGCCTGGATTAGAAGTCCATTGGTACTCACCATCTCTGACACTAGTTACTCTCCCTCCCTCCCCATCTCCCAGGACCGGCTAATCCAGGCAAGCTATCAGGTGTAGGTGTTGAGCTTTGGTGACTGCAGTGGCCGAGCAGTCTTAAGCTTCACACCAGCATAGGTGGCCTTCAGGGCTGCTGGAACCCCCAGAGCTTTCTCAGCCTGTCTGTGCCAAAACTTCTGTACCGACCTAGGTGTATGGTAGTGTTTCTTAGAAGGCTGTGGAGAAACATCTGGCCTTAGTCATTCATGTGTCTTCTACAGGCCTTTGTTGGTTCCTAGCTTGGAGGAGGTACTTAGAAAGTGTTTGCTGAATTAAGTTAGTTGAACTTAACTGTTACATTAACATTTCCATGTAGTCAGTATTGGCTCCCTCAGTTTTTAACCTGGTAAAAAAATCTCACTCTTTCCCTAGCTCTAACAACTATCTTTTGTGACCAAGGAAATATATAATCAGGGTTAAATTGTGGTGACATACCATTCTCAAATAGTTGTGACAAAATAAAGAAGTTGCTGACTGCGAGCAGTTTGGCACAGGGTCACAAATCAGAGAGAGAATAGTGACTATGCCTGCCTGACCTCAGATGACTGTCCTGCACTCTAGTTCCTGCCTCTGGGCTTCTGTTTCTGTTTCCACCCTCTTTAGTGTCCTATCTTCGGTGCAAAGATGACCATAGACTCTTCATCATTAATCCCTCCTGTAGGGACGTAAAGAATAATTGGATTGGATCCATTATTGTCTCATGTCCCCATAATTTGTCATTCTTTCTTTTTCATTATATAATGTGCTCCTGTGAGTAGGCAGGGCAGGGCTTATTAGCCTGACTTTGGAGATAAGAGACTCAGAGAGGCTTAGAGAGCTAACGGGTCTTGCCCCGGGGCTGCTGTGTATGAATGAATAGAAGTTGAACCTTGGACTGATAAGAATGCCTTCTCAGAGCTCCAGGAGGGGAAAAAAAATAGCTAAGGTGTCCTCAAATTGGTGAGGCCACATGAGAGCCCTAGAGTGAGTGTCTGAACTTTGAGATTCAATCTGTCTCCTTTCTCTGTCTTCCCCACTGGTCATATGGGTTCCCAGAGTGTTGGTTAGGGAGCCTGGGGTCCGGTGGAGCACTGGCTTTGTTCCAGCTGAGGGATGCCTCTGAGCTTTTCCCTGCCTCCTAATGCTGACATGGTATCCCCTTCACGCTCTGCAGAGAATGGGGCCTTCTTCTGCAATGAATGTGACTGTCGCTTCTCTGAAGAGGCCTCGCTCAAGAGGCACACACTGCAGACGCACAGCGATAAACCGTACAAGTGTGACCGCTGCCAGGCCTCCTTCCGCTACAAAGGCAACCTTGCCAGCCACAAGACCGTCCACACGGGTATGGCCTTGTCCCACAGCGAGTGTTCCAGTTAGGGGCTACAGACAGTGATCTTAGGACAAAACTGGGGACTTCATTGGAATAAAGCAGGAGGCAGGCCCCCACCCTGGCTTCACCTATGGTGGCGGTTCTCAAGCTGTGGGTTGTGACCCCCTGGGAGTTGAATGGTCCTTTTACAGGGTCGCATACCAGATGTTCACATTATGATTCATAGTGGTAGCAAAATTATAGTAAAGAAGCAGAAACAAAAATAATTTTAGGGTTGGGGGTCACCATAACATAAGGAATTGTATGAAAGGGTCACAGCATTAGGAAGGTTGGGAACCACTGAACCAGGGACTTAACTCTGTCTTATCTCTGCCACTCTGCTTATTCTTTGTATTTCCTCTGAGATTTTGTCCTGCCTCTCTGCCTTTGCTGGGGTCAGAAATATTAATTCCCCCGGTTGAGAGGAGACTAATGCTGATAAAGGCAAAGTGGATTGGGTTTGGGTAAAGCCAGCTAAAAATAAAAGCCCCTCAAGGACTTACCAACCAACTTACATTCTTTTTCCCAGGACACTTTTCACAACCTCGTTGTTGTGGGCATTAACTAGTTCTCAGACCTTTCAGTGGCCCCATTATCCCCGAAACTTTCCATGGTGGAAGGCTCAGCCGTAGATTGGTTTCCTCTGCCCAGCTTCTGCTCAGCCCCACACCCCGCCTTGCTTGCAAATGGAATACAGCTGTAGTTGCAACAAGCGGAAAAGTATGTTCTGAGGGAGAAACTAGAGCAGCCTGATTGTATCTCCCTGGTGAGTGAGCGGATTATTGCATCAGTCCGTCCAAGGGAAGAGCCTGAAGTCTTCCCAGGTCATCTACATCAGCCCTTCCCATTCAGAGAGGGAAACCGAGGCCCAGAGAAGGACAGTGTGTTGCTCAAGGCCTACAGGCAGTCTACCCGAATGACAGCACTGGTTCTGCAGGTTGGGCTTCTTGAAACCTCCCCCATTGTGTCCTATGAATAGAATTGTTTCCACTGTGCCACTGCCTATTTCTTAGTCTTTTCCCCTGCTGGGTGTGCAGGTGTGTGTGTGAGCAAGGATGATAGGCCCTAGATCAGTGGTTCTCAACTGGCAAGCCTTGAGCCCTTTGGGTCAAGAGCAACCCTGTCACAGGGGCCACCTAAGACTATTGGAAAACACAGAAATCTACATTACGATTCCTAATAGTAGCAAAATTACAGTCACTACAACATGAAGAACTGTATTAAAGGGTCACAGCATTAGGAAGGTTTAGAACCACTGCCCTGGATTCTCTTTCTGATCTCCCCGTAGAGAAGGGAAGGCATAAGTGGCCTTGGACAAGAGTAGTTGCCTTGAAATTAAGGTCAGTGTAGATCTCCATTAAAATGATTCCTTTCTTCCATCTGTCTTGGCAATAGGTGAGAAACCCTATCGCTGTAACATCTGTGGAGCGCAGTTCAATAGGCCGGCCAACCTGAAGACCCACACTCGAATTCACTCTGGAGAAAAGCCCTACAAATGTGAAACCTGTGGGGCCAGATTTGTGCAGGTGAGCAGGGCAGCATGGAGAAGGGACGCTGTGGGGGTGAAGGCCTGGCCATAGGCTGGCAGTGTACCCTGGCAGCATCTCTCACACTGTGCTCCTCCTCTAGGTGGCCCACCTTCGCGCCCATGTGCTCATCCATACTGGAGAGAAGCCGTATCCCTGTGAAATCTGTGGCACCCGCTTCAGGCACCTTCAGACTCTAAAGAGCCACCTGCGCATTCACACAGGAGAGAAACCTTACCATGTATGTAAATCCTGTGGCTGCTGCCTGGTCTGGGAGGGAGGGAGGTGGAGCAAGTGAGCAGCAGAGCTATTTGCTCCGATGCCAGCATACAGTAGACTAGTAATGTGTATGAGATCTGGATCTGAGCCTGATTGTCAAAGTCACTCCTGGGTCTCAGTGTGTTCATCTTTGAGATGGTCTGGGTGACCTGGGCCTTAGGAAAGGAGACATAGAATTGGGCCATTCATTCATTCCATAAGTACCTACTGAGTATCTCCATCATACCTCTCTGTACTAGACACGTATGTTAAGAGTATTTAAGATGTCAAAGCAGAGCTTGGAAGTAGGAAAGCAACCAGAGAAACATGGCAAAGAAAAACACCAAAACCAGAACCAAATATAAACCTAGAAAACATTGTTTCAAGAAATAGCAGGTTGGCACCAGAGGATACTTTAGCAGTTACGAGTTATTGCTGCTGTTGTAGAAGATGTGGGTTCAGTTCCCAGCACTCCACAATTATAGGTGGTTCATAACCACCTACAATTCCAGTTCTGGGGATTCATCGCCCTCTTCTGGCCTCCCTGTGTAACTGCATGAATTTGGTGCAGATATAGATACACACACACACACACACACACACACACACACACACACACACGTAAATAAAAAGAAATGAAATTCAAAAGAAAGAGCAGATGCCTACATGCTTAATGCCACATTAAGAACAGGCTGTTGGGATGGTTGTGTTCCAGAGCAAAGTCTCAGCCGACTACAGCCTGCTGGTTAAGTTTTGAAGTTGTGGAAGCTAAAACTGTGACGTAGTGAGCTGTGTGAAATTTAACTTTCATATAGGACACCAATAACAAATAAATGGACTGCAACCTCACTGATTTGTTTACATGGTGTATGGGCCTGCTTTGAGGAATCAATGGCTCGCTTCAGGTGCTGCTGGGCTAATCAATGAATGATTGGCTCACACCCAAATGGGAACTGGCAAAGTGTGGCCATTTTTGTCCACTTGCCTCTAAGGCTTCAAATATCTTTGTACTTGCCATTTGTCTCTTGGCAAATTAGTTATTTTTATCCTTAGTGCCTTAGTTTCCTCATCTGTACATTGATCCAAAAAAAAAATAGTGCCTACTTCATGAACTGGCTATATTTAGGTAACTAATTCATTCAGTGCTTTGAGTTGTTCAAGCTCATAGCTATGGCATGATCTGCTAGAATCTTAGTTACGGAGACAATAAGAACTGAAAGTGACATTTGGCATTGATTGGCCCAAATCCCTTAAAGATGGGAAAGCCAAGATCTTAATAGACTTTATGGTCAGGATCACAGCAATAGGTGGCATAGTTGCAGTGGACCTCTATCATTTGAAAAAAAAAAAATCCCAGACTCAAGAATCTCCATGAATTTAGGCCATCTAACCCAACAGTACTGTTGCATTCAGACTGATGTCACAGTTTTCTGAGGGTGCATTCTGCTAGATCGTAGAAGACTACAAAGTTTGGATGAGAAGTAGTCACTTCAAAGTACTAGCCACCTGATGAGGACATTAATACACTAGAATGATTGTGGGGGCAAGGCTGTAAATATGAGATTTACATCAGTTTGCATCGGAATTTATCTTTTGGCTAAAACTTGTAATCATGCAGTTAAGTCAGGGAAGGGCATCTCAAGCCCAGGAACATAAGTGACACATTGGGAGGGAAGGCAGGGATAATTGTGCAAAGTATACTTAACCTCCTTTGGAAGCCAGGATTCAAATGGGTCCTAAACCTGCCCTGTGAAAGGGAGGAGCTGCCTCCACCCCGCCCTCACAGAGACGTCTCTGTTCTGAGTCTTTGAGAAATGACACGTTTCTCGAGTCGATGATGGCTAACACTTTGCTTCTGGTGTCTCTCCAGTGTGAGAAGTGTAACCTACATTTTCGTCACAAAAGCCAACTGCGACTTCACTTGCGCCAGAAGCACGGCGCCATCACCAACACCAAGGTACAATACCGCGTGTCGGCTGCTGACCTGCCTCCGGAGCTTCCCAAAGCCTGCTGAAGCATGGAGTGTTGACTCTTTTCTCCCTAGCCCTTTCTCAGACCCTCCCCGAAGGATGCTGTAATACTTTACAAAGGTCATCCCATGATGTAGTGCCTCTCTCATCCACTAGTGCAAATCATAGTTGGGGTGGGGGTGGGGCGCGGGGTTTGCGGGACCGGGAGCCAAGACAGCTCCCCTTCCCACACTGCCATAAGACATTAAGAAAATACTATTGCTTCTTCTCCTATGTGTAAGGCAAACCATGTCAGCGAAAAGCAAAATCATTTTCTATATCAAAGTAGGGGAGAATGCGAAAGTTCTGATGTGACAGATTGCAACACGAGGAATGTAAACCTTCTGTGGGAACAGAAATCTCTTTTGTATGTAAATGTGTATTGTTTTAAAAGACAAGACTTCAGGATGTTGTCCAAGAGAGGGCTTTAATTTTTTAACCAAAGGTGAAGGAATATATGGCAGAGTTGTAAATATATAAATATATATATAATATAATATAAATATATAAACCTAAAAAGATATATTGAAAATATAAAACTGCGTTAAAGGCTCGATTTTGTATCTGCAGGCAGACACGGATCTGAGAATCTATTGAGAAAGAGCACTTAAGAGACTATTTTAAGTATTGCGTCTGTATAAGTAAGAAAATATTTTGTCTAAAATGCCTCAGTGTATTTGTATTTTTTTGCAAGTGAAGGTTTACAATTTACAAAGTGTGTATTAAAAACAAAACAAAAAAAAGGACAAAAAAAGTTGCAGAAGGAGAAATGTATACTTTTGTTCCAGTTTTCAGTTTGTATATACCTGTAACGTGTCCTCACGGTGCCTTTTTTCACGGAAGTTTTCAACGATGGACGAACTTGCGCCATCCCCTTTTGAAGTGTAGACAGACACAGGGACTTGAAGTTGTCACTAACTAAACTCTCTTTGGGAACGTTTGACTCCTCCCACATTGTGCGTCATGCTTGTTGTTATAATTACTCCGGAGACAGGGTTTGGCTGTGTCTAAACTGCATTATTGCGTTGTAAAATATAGCTGTACAAACATAAGAATAAAACGTTGAAAAGTCAAGAGAGATTTCTCTGTGGATCTATCTTTGCATGGAGATCATCGGCGTAGGTCCAGCCTCCTGTGTTGATGTTCCAGTGGGAAATGCTCTAGGAGGGGAGGGGCTGCTGGCCAGTGAGATGTTGAAGAGGGGCGTTACTTGAGGCTAGACTGGGGTGTGTCCTATTTCTGTCTATTCCTGTCCCGAGCACAGGATCAGCTGCACACCCCAGCCACTGGGCCTGAAGGTCAAGTGGAGGATTTGAGCAGACTCTTGCCCAGCTTTGGGCTGCGTTCTGCATTCCAGCCCTTTCTCTTTAGACACAAACGTTTCGTAGTCCCTTCTACCTCCGAGCCTCAGCTGACGATTCTCTTCTCAAGTGAGAGGTCCTATCTTGGCTCTGGCTTCATAAACAAGTTCTCTTCACTTGGCCACCCCAGGGCAGGCCAAAGGCATCTGGCTGCAGCCATACATTTCTCAGCATTTGGTGTCTCCTGGGTGATGGACAGACAAGTACAGACTTAGAAGCTTTATGATTGGCCAGAGGCCAAGCAAGCCTCTGCCCCCATGCTGGAGCTCTGCCACCCCTCCTGTGTGCATTGGGTCACCTTTTTTTTTTTTTTTTTTTTTTTTTTTTTTTTTTTTTTTTTTTGCCATAGGTCTCTGTCCCAGCTTATCCAAGAGGAGACTGGGTTAACAAGACCATTTCTGAATCCATGATTCAGACGTAGGTTCATACTGGCCTGTGCTGGCATCCACTTTTATTTTACCTCAGAAAACCCCAAGGACGGAGTTTGATTGACAGGATCTGAGAACTGGGAAGACAAATGTGGTTCTGGTCATGGGCCCAGAAGAGAAAGCCGGCATCCCCTTCCTGTTCCTGGGTGGCAGTGGAGAGGGGACATGTGCCCACTGACCAGCTCTTGGCAGTGACTTTGCAGCAGGCACTGAGCACGTGTTGGGAAGCTGGAGGAGCTGACCACCCAAAGCCCCAGAGAGAGCTTCAGAAAGTCACACCACCCTCTGCCAACCACACGGCCTTGCGGCTCAGGTTTCCTTTGAAAATGACTTTAAAGGACTTGCCAGCTCGGGGCCTCAACTCACCCTGTTCTTTGAAAAGGGAGAAAATGATCCCTCTGCTCCCATAGAAACCTGGCAGAAGAACTTACAGAATAGACAGCCTCAGGAATGACAGTTCACAGGCCTGAGGGAGACTGGCCCTAGGCTCCTTCTGCTCCTGAGAGTCTGTTTTTGTATTATTACTATTTATGAGGGAGACTGTGGAGCAGACAGGGAGGGTGGTGTTCCGACAAAAGGGAGATCAAAGACGGAACTACTACAGCCAGCTGATGATTAATAATAAGTAAAAAGAAAACATCTCTGAGCAAAGTAATTAAGGGGACAGCCCAGAGCAGAGGGAAGAGAAAATTTTATTGCAAAAGCATGGGTGAATGCATTTTCAGATTTAAAAACCAAAAACGGTGTCTCAAAAACCAGGCTATGCTTGATATTCTCCACATCATGGAGGCAAAGGTTTGTTAGGACTTCAAGCTGAGGCGTGTGTTGTATTTGCTTTTGTTCTAGTTTACTTTCTGTTGCTGTAGTAAAACCCTGACCAAAAGCAATTTGTAGTAAAACACTGACCAAAAGCAATTTGGGGGAGGAAAGGTTTTATTGGGCTTATACATCCTGATCACAGTTCACCATTGAAGGAAGTCAGGGTTGGAACTCAAGGCAGGAACCTAGAGGCAAGAATTGAAGCAGACCATGGAGGAACACTGCATACTGGCTTGTTCCCTATGACTTTCTGATGCAACCCGGCCCATCTTCCCAGGACCCTCCTACATCTATCATAAATGAGGAAAATGCCCCAGAGACTTGTTTACAGGTCAGAATTTCCTCAGCTGAGGTTCGTGCTTCCCAGATGATCCTAGGCAAGATTGACAACTGAGCAACACAGATTTCTTTCAGCTGTGGCAGAATGCTCAGTGCAGCACTGAAGGGTTGATGTTTTTAAACTCACAGCTTCAGCTGTTTCTGTCCATCATCCTTGGTTCTGCTAACTCTGGGCCTGTGGTGAGACAGGATATCATGGCAGTCAGGAAGCCAAGAGAAGAGAAGGACAAGACACTTTCCCAAAGGCGTGCGCCAAAGTGACCTATTTCCTCCAGGTAGGCTCAACTGCTAAAGTTTCCAGAACCTTCTAAGATACTGCCACCAGCTGACGACAAATCTTTTAAAACAATAACTTTCGAAGGCATTGGGGGCTTGTGTATATCTAAATCAGTAGTAGACTTACAGATGTGGCTGAGTAGACACAAGCAGAGCTGTTCAGGGGCTGGAAGACACAGTAGAGAGAACCCTTTAGTTCAAGTGTCTCTTCTGACCCATGAAGTGTCTGAGGAATTTAGGTCTGCTGCCATGCCATCCAGTGTCTGGGCAGGTATGGGGACCAGGATCCTCCTTACCCCAACCTTAGGATTTAGTTGTGACAAAATGGCAGTTCCAAGGTCACATAACTAAGTGTCCAGCTTGCCTGAGTTCCCACACCCAGCTGTTTGTAGAATGTCAAGCTCAGTCAATGGTTAGAACTTAGGCATCTCGTTTTTCATTTCTTTGTATCACTCACAGCAGTAATTAATAAGAAATTGTCTCATGTTTTTCCAGAGGTATGCTCAGGAAGACATGAGGAAAAGTGGGGAAGGAAACCAGAAAGAGCTGACCCTTGGACACTAGTCAGGCCACATTGATGGCAGAGCCCCAGAGCAAGGTACTCAGAAGAAGACGATCTTCCAATACTGCGTTCTACAGAGCTTGCTATCATCTGGAGGTTCCTGGACTTACATGTCCATGGGACTCAATATCTCTTACAACTGTTTATAATAGGGTAGCCATGCCCAGCACCTTCTCTTTACATGGGCTAGTCTGTGTGGGTTCCTATATCCTGGAACCAGAGCACAGTTTATGCTGGCAGCCAGACTTCATATATTATATATTTTATATTTAAAATATGTAAAAAGGGTCATTTACTAATCCCTGAAGTGACAAAGGGGAAAATATCTACAGTCAAACTATTAAATGAGATTATTGAAAATTGGTAAATAGTAACACTGCTCCCCTTTTGGCTAAAATCAAGTGTGAAGTTGTTAAGTAATGACACTTTTGCAGTGCTCCCTCAAAAGGAGCAAGTAAAAATGCATTTATGCATAGGAACTTGACTATTTTGCATTACTAACTGAAAGGAACAATAACACGAGGGGCTAGAGAGATGGCTTGGCAGAGAGTGCTTGCTGCTCTTCCAGAAGACCTGAGTTCAATCCCCAGCATCCACATCAGGAAGCTCACAACTGTGGCTCCTGCTCCAGGAGTAAAAAAATAAAGAAGTAGGAAAAATAACATTAGACTTTGGAGAATATTTTACAATAGCTGAGTTATCAGTTTCACAGTAAATTATGGTACTACAATAAAAGGTTGCCCAGTGCATACATTGCATTTCACAGAAGATCAGTAGAGCTGATAACTTTGTGACTTTTATAAGGAATAAACACACTTTTTACCATAGCTTTCCCACAACTTATGACCTTTGAAGCAAAATTCATTTCAGTATTAAACCAAAATTGTAACTGGTTATATTTAACAAAACAGTTACTGGTGATGGAGGGCCTCTCTCTCTCTCTGTCTCTCTCCCCGTGTGTGCATGTGTATACATGTGTGTGCACTCACAAGTATATGTGTAAACAACCTCCTTTATACTACACCAACTTAAAAAGGCTCTGCACAGGGAAGGAGACAGTAAGCATACCAAGCAGACAACCTATAAAATGAGACAAAATATTTCCAAACACTGTGGCCTGCACACATGTCTACACTAATAGGTAATAGTTATAATAATTTTAAAATGGTATAGTCATACATAGACATTTATCAGGGCATTTCTATGGTCAAGAGAAACAT